ATCGTCGTACCTGATGAGTTATCGGTATGAGACCGAACAGTCTCGTGGCTTTTGTCGGGCCCCATTCGCCACTCGCGCAATCTGGCAATGGTACCATCACCGTTTGCAATTCCTCGCATGCGATTTTGAATTTGCACACGCTCTTGAACTTCATTGGCTCGCCGGTTAAGTATTCCTTGGGCGTCACAGCGTTGGCAAAAATGTCCAGGAGGAAAGCCCCTGAACAGGGTGCGTGCACGCGGAACGCGACGATATTCCCAACGACGCTCTACAAACGTAAATTTCCAGAGGAAATCTCGACAACGTCCCGGCAATAAAAATTCCTCGAACAATTTTACTGTTAGTCTTTAAAAAATTAAATACGTCCGTGGAACATTACACGGATGCGAACGCTCGTTCCAACAGGTATATAACGTTAAAATTTGGTTAGTCATGCGGACTGTTCAAACAGCTCGTTAAGGCTACATTGAAAATCAATATTGGAAAACGTTAATATCGTCGTAAACACAAGAAATATCGAACGTTTGAACGGGCCTGTACCTGACGACCCCGGTCCTTTGCAAATTTCTGTCGGTCAATTAATTTCACTTGGCGAGTAATTAATTAGCAGGCGACTCCTCAACTCCCATTAAGAGTCTCTTCCTTTAATTACGCTTCCTAAGTTGGTTTATACGAATGACGCTGGCGAACAATTAGCCCGTGAAAAAAATTTCGTTCCCCGTATCCCCGTGTGCTAAATGTCTCGACGTACCTGCATGACGAATCGTTTCAACGAGACGCCGTCGTATCCGTCGCCGTCGTTGTCGTAGAATTTGAGATTATAGTGAAAGATGAGGGATGATTGCATGTGAGCTGGCATGGCTATCCTGACGGTCGCGGCACCCGTAGAATCCGTATACATAACGGCATTCGTGTTCGTATCCGGAAAGTAGAGGCCGTACCTGCCGAATTTACATAAAACGTGTGTGACATTTTTTTTTTCTTCGTAAGCACGGTCGGTCGTGTGCAATATCACATAGGACGTTTGCTCGTTGAATTTTTATAAATATCCCCACAAAACTTTATTTTATTTAGCGCTTTATCGTTGCTAATTATTGATCAAATAGATCTATTAATTTCAGACTCATTAAGCGAATGATCGTATTACCTGAAGAACAACGAGCGCACGAAAGGCAGCTCTTCGAAATCTTTGAGCGAAATCGGTTGCTTGAGCAATTGCCATTCCTCTTGAAGAGGGAAGAACTCGTAGATGAACTCTCGCGGATCTGTGAGGAAGTAGTGATCGTCGTATTCGTATCTGCAAAGAAGAAACAGCTAAATGAAGTCGAACGATTGGTGACGGTGACGGCCTATTAGAAAAGAAACGGAACGGTTTAACAAAAATACCTGAGGCTGTCGTTCTTGGCTTTTGGCTGACCAGGACGAGGAACTTCTTTGGCATTGACCAGATGTCGCGCCCCCCAATTGCACTGGACGAATCTCCACGCGCCAGCAACGTAGACTGCGTTCCAACTATTTCGGAATCGATTGTCCTCGAAGCAAACGCCTGGCTGATAACCAGCCGATTTGCTGTAACCCTTTATCACTACACAGTGCAATCCCGCGTAACTGCAAGGAAACATAACAGAATAGATTGCGAGAAAAATGGCACTTAGTTTAAAATTTTAGTAGTAAGTTCCATTCGTCCAATCTTGAAACGTGGGCCCCGTTTCACGGGTTAAATTATTATTTTGGCAACGATCGAAGTCGCGTTTACCTGCATAGTCGTTTAAACAGAACGTGGTAACTTTCAGTCCCGTGTTTTATGCCTCTGAGCAAGCCCATAGGCGTGTCCCCGCGCAGATTCTCGTCGAACTGCATGGTATTCAGGTTCTTCACGGTGATCCATCGGAATATCGTCCTAGCTTTCTCTATATCCGATCCGCATCTGCTCACCAACTGTCGCACCAAATCTGTGAACGTTTTCTGATCTTCTTGGGCTACCTGATTTACCAAAGGGACAGAAAAAAGAAAAAGAAACAACGTAAACTAACCATCGTGATAAATTTGGAAATTTCAACTTTTAGACCAAAAGTCATTGATTGACGCCTGTATCGCTGCCAGAAAAATAGAAACTTTCATAAATATTCAAACGTTCTTTTTTATTCCGCGCTAATGGTACCGTATCAGCACATTATAACGAATAGCCTCGACACTCCGTTCTCTCGCTCATCCTTCGAATGAAAGAAAGATCGTAAATCGATTAGGCCAAGTCTTCGCGTATAGACGCGTAAGAGCCGGATAAGGGCGAATATATGAAAATATCGGCCCAACGATTCGAACGCCGGGCCGTTTAAAATTCCACGGGTGCAACGCAGCCCCTTTCGATTCCTCTTCGACGTTACATTTACAAGGGGATAGCGGTGTTAAAAAGGGGCTAGCACTACGACGGGGGCTTACCGAAATAGCTATCTGATCCATGTCAGCAAACTCCAGAGGATCATTGTAGATGTGATACTTGGCGAGAGCAGGGGGCTGCGGGGGTGGAGCACGCGACGGATAAGGCAAAGGCGGTGCTTCCTGGGCATAACCATCCCCTTCGTCGAGATACAGACTCTCCTGCCGCATATACTCGCTTCTTGCTTCATTGATCAGCTCCAGCATCTCCGAGCTCTGTTTCTCCACCAAGGCTGCGGTCGCCGCTCTGGAAATTGATCAAGAATTACAAGAGAATTCGCGGTTCGCCATTGACAACTTTGTCACCACGTTTCTCTCGACTTTGGAAATTCCGCACGCAAGGCTCGGCCATCGTTCTCGTTTCATAAATATCTATTTTTTTATTTTTCTTTATTTTTTCCTCGAAATTTATCGGCAATTGAAGCGATCGTGTTTTCTGTTTCTGTTTCTGTGAGAAACGAGTACGACTTTCTTAACGAAAAACACTATACTCTTCAAAGAGACGGAAGATTCTCTATGCAGAGAACGTGGATACAATCGCTCTAGCCCATTTTCTACGCATTTGTAGAAAAATTCTGGCTACGCAGACAGAACTTTGTTGAATTAGTTTCAGATAACAGATTTGTGGATAGGTTTGATAAGCCTAGGAAGAGTAAACAATCCACAAATTAAAGGGTTAATTAACTGCCATAAGAGCATTGCCTCTCTTTCACGGACCTTACAATGCACGTAGCCAGAGCAGCGTGACGTAAAATTAGTCTAATTAGGTATGTAATAAGTACCGTTCGTGCTCCAGCATTTTACGCGTGAGACTTTCCTTCTTCTTGTCTCTACGAAGTGTCATATTCTTCTCCAAGTCCTCTTTCTCTTGCTGAAATTGCTGGGCTCGGGCTCTTCCGCCTTTTTCGCGTTCCCATCTGGCCGATAATTCCTCCAGTTCCTTCTCCCATTCGTCCTACTCAATTAAAAAACATGATCTTCCAATCACAAGGCTTCTGCCATGTTAATCCAGATATTCCCCATTTATATTTTTCTTTCTTTCCTTCCTTTAATCACATTAAAAAAAAAAAAACTAGTAATAAGAACTCTTTTTTTAATTGGTATAATTAAATGAGACTCTTATTACTAGTATAGAGTAATACTAGTGAGAACTCTTAATTAATCGAACACAATCACGTAAGAACACATCAGGCCTGAAGAAGTATTCCAACTTTAATTTTATGAAACAGACGTTCAGATGAGTGTTCTCACATTCATCAATCCCAATTACTTCAAAATTTTGTTTCATTTACTCTCACGATTGAGTGAGTTCAGCCGTGACAGATGAAAGAGCCGTACGTACTCTAAATTCCTCTCGAATTCGTCTGTCCTCCTCCTCGCGGTGGTGAGCGAATTTCCGATAGAGGTCATCCTCCTCCTTCCGATGTTTCATCTCGAGCCGCGTCTGTTCATCTCGGTCCTGGATAATTGCAACAAAAAAAGAAGAAGAAAAAGAAAAAAAGAAAGAAAGAAAGAAAGGAAGAAGAAAAACGAGGATCATCGAGGGCCTTTCTCTTAATTATGACGAGGGAAACAGGGTCGCCATGTTTTGCCCTGGCATGTTGTTGCTCGTCCGGCGCGCGGGAAATTTAAAGAAACTCATCGGATCGGTTTCAGGGAATCGCGTTCTCGAACGAGTTTCGCCGGCCGAGGCAATTAACCCGAGGCGTCCTCTTCGTCTATCGAAAAGCGAAGGCCGCGTCTAAACGTCCCACTGGCGAGCGACGGTCGTCCAGTTTTTTGCCAGGTTTACTTTCACGCCGCCTCTCTGCTTTCCTTCTGGCTGGAATCGCGCCGGAAACGAGGCGCGCGCTCCAGAATCGCGTTCGCGGCGAATCGAGGCGTTCGTAGAGAAAGAGAAACGCGAGCAGGCGAGCATGAACGTTTCACGTTCCCACGGAACGAGGATCGCGAATCTGTTTCGCCGAGACGAAACCGATCGGGTTCGGGCATGCTAGTAGACGCATACGGCTCGAAAAAGGATTTCCTCGGATTTGGCATAGCGTTGCGCAAGCGGTTTCCTACGCGCGTACAAACCCACGCCACAGTTACGTCACTTATTGCAGCGCAGATAGTTATTGCGCGAAATAACCGCGAATAAGAACTATGTTGGAGAGCATCGACTTAGCGTTTTTCTCGGCTTAGGATTTCGAAACGGAGCTATCAGAACACTCGATAGACGCGTCTCGTATGCCTTTGAATCGGAGCAAACTTTGGAATTTGCCTAGGATAGGATTTTTCTGAGCAAACTTGAGTTACTTGCGATAATAAGATTCTATCTCTATAGTTGAATCGCTCTGTACAATGAGGAATGTTGCGGTTGCGCTTGCTAAAATTGCCTTTAACAAGCGACAGCTCTCTCTCTCTCTCTCTCTCTCTCTCTCTCTCTCTCTCTCTCATGGCGACAAGTGCAATTAATCTTTTTCTAGGAGAAAAGAAAAAAAGAAAACGAAAAGAGACGAGAATCTCTCGTGGCAACCGAGAGATTAATATTTTGAAATCGATAGTCATCGTGTACCTTGTTTGTTTTGTGTAATCACGTCGCTCGCGCTCGAGTGCACGCTGTAAGTCTACTTCTTTTATTATCAATTCGTACCGTTATCAGTACTCTCCAATTAGTGAAATAAAAAAAAATTCTCCTAACAGGATAAATCTGATCGATCTGTTCGCCAGCGTCGTTAAAGAAGTAATTTTCTTCGGTGCTTGTTTGCGTGACTGGTTAACCAAGATTTCGTCACGATAGAACCGTCCAACTTCCGCTTGCTTGTCCCTCGAACGGACAGATGTGCGTTCATTTGCATTATCTGCTACATCGTCGGTTTTGCTAGAAATTGTCGCGTCCTATGAAACTGGTTCTCCGCGCGTGTCGATAAAGAGCGATACAAGTAAGGTAAAAAGCGTGCACCACCTATCCAATTTCAAGGAAAGCGTTTCATCCTCTTGTTCGTGATTAAACTCAAACAAAGTTTTTCGCAGGGTCACCAGCTTCTTCTACGAGAAGATAGCCAACTCTTTCTTAGTTCGACATAATGATTTTTCGTGTGGGAAGAAAGAGAATATTTCGTATAAAAATCATTATTTTATTCAAAGAAGATTGAACATTCTAAAAACTGAGAATTCCAAGTCTCGAAAATTCAGGATTGAAAGGAAAGAAATATGAAAAATAGGCCGAGCGAATAGCAGAGGAATAGTCGACGAGTAATCTAATTGCATCGGTCACGCGTTGCGAACGTAGGATCGTTCCACTCGCTCGAACCTGTCGACTAATCTGCCAGCCTGGCCGAAAAAGGAGCGGAAAGAAAGTAAGAATAAAATCGATGGACCGTGGTACACAGTCATCGACCGCAGCAGCGATTCCAATTAACATCCGTGGGTCGTTCATTGGCGAACGGGCGTGAGAGGTGAGCCACAATCGCTCTTTAAAACAGGATACGCACACGGTGCGGCCCCTCCACGCCCCTCATTCGCTCTATCTCCGCTTGTGCACGACTTATTCCGCAGCCATGGAACGATTCTCTAATTAACCCTGAGCCGTGGTGCGCCGAGTACCGCAAGCGGAAACGATCTGGATCCGTGCGCGAGCTTTCCTTCGCGTGTGCACGCTGTCACGAAGAGAAGACACCAGAGAGGGAGGGGAGGGGAGGAACGCGCTGTTCCGCGGCAACGGTTCGGCTGATGTTCACGAGGACGTTCGTCGTTATTGTTCTCGTTGATGGCCCGGAAGCAGGTGAAGAAAGTTGAACCGCGTCGCGCGAGTAAGAGATCGAACGATAGAAAAATTAGACGCAGATAGAATCGGTTCGCGAAGTCAGCAACAATGGCGTGTTAGCTTCATTCATCGTGTATAATATCGTCGAATGTTCTCTTCTCGACGAATGAGCTTCAACGATCGATGGAAAAAGCTAGCTGCACAGATTCTTTCTTTCGCCCGATTTTTGCGATCGTTTACGCTTCACGGTGTCGGGATGGGATCATCGGCTGCAACAGTAGCAGCGGTTTCTTACGATCGGGCGATCAACTTGGGAAATTGCTCGCTCGAACGCTTCGTGGACGTTGGCCATACCGCGATGATCCTGGTTCCGCGAATCGTAGAGATCGAAGATGGTTCTCTATGGTTCTCTATGGTGGAAGGTTTGTCACCCGTAATTGAGAAACAACGTGGGCAAAGTGATCACGGGCGTGCCCGTCGTCCTTCTGAACGTGGAGAGCACGCGGGTTAACGGTTTCATCGAACGCGCCACTGGTTATCATCGATTGCGATAAAATAGAGAAAATCCGTCCTGTATATATCGGACTGTCGGAGAGATTCTCGCGGTCTTGGACCTGCAGCCTGGAATATTGGTATCGAGATAAAAAAGAAAAAAAAAAAAA